ATTTTCTGTTCCTTCCTGTGAAGGAAGTAAGGACTGTTCCTCCTGGCACCCAGGAAGCAATTTTTCCACAAAGACATAATTTTCCTCCAAAAAGCGCTCTTCTAGCTGATGTGAAAATAGGGGAAAAACAAGAGGGGAAATTGATCGGGAGTTGGGACTAGCCGCGACCATACCGTAGTTCCCGATGAATTGTATATAAGTCCCGCTATAGTCTTTGTGGCTCCCTGGACTCTGGGTATGGTCAGATGAAGGGCGCTCCAGGGCATTTAGTTTGGAGGGGAAGTTGCAGGGAACCCGGAGTAGTGAAAATAGTCTTTTGGGTGACATAATGTGAAACAAAGTCTACAAAATAAGGACACTTTGGTGTTCCTTTTTATGTTCCTTCTGTAGTCCACTCTTTGAATTACTGACATTGCCCAAATGGGATGTCCTGTCATGACACACATATCACTTTTTTATCTAAAGGGGTTAATATGTAGTAAAGCCCTGGAACCAGCAATTAGGCTTGTTTACAAAACCACAGGGAACATGAACAGAAGGTTCAAGTAATGCAGAGCAAATATAAAATTGCTAGAAAAGGAGCCATAGAATGTTGGTTCTCTATGTTAAAAGATCTCAAACAACCTCGTCTTTCTACTAAAATACAGAAAATTATACCATTATTCCAAATACATGTTATGTATTCATTTCCCTGTACATGATTTTGAGACCTTATGACATTATTTGTTACACGTCTCCTTACATGCTTTCATCTAAAGACCTTCATTTTCTACAGTACTAACAAAGCAATTCATGTTATTTTCTTTCAAGCTCAAAAATAGCTGTATTTAATACCATTTGTCACCCCTTATTTGGATGGCCCATCTGGTGTTTACGTGTTTACATAACAATATGCCTGTTGTGCGGTGCAATTTTTCTGTTTATTGTGATAGCATTTGCCTCACCACAAGGATTTTATTTATCCACAGAGTTTGAGATAGCTTAATCTTTCTTTGTGTAAGGCAGTGCAGAATATTCTAGAAGAAGATTTTCTTTTATGTGATGTGCACTTGGAAAGATACAGTTGGCACATACACTGCCCATAATCTAGTCACTTAAAATTAACTGTATTTTTTTCTTTTCTTTAATAAGACTGGCTTTTATGACTGTCCTCTGACAACATTTGAAACTTATCTAAATTACAGATATCTTATAGTTCACATTTCTATAACAAAATGATAAATTTGTTCTCAAGGATATTTGGTGACATGATCCTTGTGAAACTGGGAGTGAAGTAGCTGATAACAAAATATTATGTTTTAGAGTTCCCATCTTCATTCGGAATCTTCTCAAGGAGACTGACTGCAATTGGAACAAAATTAGTAAATAATACTACCAGTGACCATGGGTCCCAAGACACACATGCGCGTGCGCACACACACACACAACACCTACCTTTGTTATATTCTTAATGTACAGTAAAAAAACCTTTAAAACATTGTGAAAACTACATAAAATTACCTATAGTACAGAAGTGTGACATATGTGTCCCACAGGTCTAAAATCTAGCAATTGTTGGAACTAGTTAAAAATCATTGTACAGAAAGATGTTAACGTGAATTGGTAATTGAAGCACACTCTTTATAAATGAACTTAGAATTTATTTGTAAAATGTTTTTCCTCACTGCTCAAAACTGTTTATACATTGGTTCAGTAATATGTATGATAAATCGGTATATGATTGATTTTACTTTTGAATAAATACTAATATGTTGAAATAGCAGGTTAAACAGGATTTGATAATAGAGTTTAAGAAAAGAGAAACCATCCTGGAAGTAAAATGATCTATCCTGACAGCATCTGCAACTCTCCACGCATACTTGTATGTATGTAGTGGGCACTGGATGACAATTAGCATTACAACCATAGCCTACCCCGCCCCCCCAATAAAGACAAAACACCAACATTGGATGAAACAGGTAATTAAAATGCTGCATAACACATCCATCTTTAAGTAAAAACTTTAAAAATCTAGCAAACAGATCAATAAAATGAACACCTAAATAACACATCATTTTATACAGTATATAACCTTAATTAAACATCCTTGCCAATCTAACTGACCAAATACATGTGATTACAACCCCCAACGGTTCTCACCTCCCCCTCATAGACAAACAATCTTACTGATATACATCAGCTCATTGACATAAAAACACAAGCTCACTCACTAGCAGGCACACGCATGCAAGCAAGCTCACTCACTAGCAGACGCACACACAGCTTAATGTGGTGGTACTGGTGTCTATAGCATGTCCCTACAGGCTTTTCAACGTAAACACTGACTTTTCAGAGAAAAGGCAGTGTTTACATTGCTTCAAAGTGACACTGCTAGTGACAGTCACTCAGACGGTCACTAGAGGTGCTTCCTGTGTTAGTGCACCTACATTCAGGGCCTCCACACTCTGTAGGTGCTGAACGTTCCCCATAGAGATACATTGATTCAATGCATCTCTATGAGGAGATGCTGATTGGAGTGGCGTTTTGCAGCCAATCCTATGGCAAAGCTTTGGATTGGCTGAGATCATCAAGCTTGATGATCTCAGCTATAGAGGCAGGGCCAGTCGAGGGGAGACCAGCACGCTGTGTGGGAAAAAAAAAAAAGGTGAGCAAAAACACTATTTTTAAACACACATTTACACCATGACGGGCAGACACACACACACACACACACCCCATGACAGACAGACAGACACACCCACCCCATGACAGACAGACACACACCCACCCCATGACAGACACACACACACACACCCCATGACAGACAGACACACACACACCCCATGACGGACAGACAGACACATACACACCCCATGACGGACAGACAGACACACACACCATACAGACAGACACTATGACACAGACAGACAGACACACACAGACACAATGACACAGACAGACACACACACACACACACCATACAGACAGACACCATGACATGGACAGACAGACACACACAACATACAGACAGACAGACAGACACACACACAACATACATACAGACAGACACACACACACACACCATACATACAGACAGACACCATGACACGGACAGACAGACACACACACCATACAGACAGACAGACACCATAACACAGACAGACACATTACTAGTACCTGCCACCAGGGGGAGGTCTGCTGTCGGCCGATGGGGAGGTCTTCTGGCGGCTGCTGGGGGACTTGTCCTGGCGGCCGCTGGGGGAGCTGCCCTGTTTGTGCTCTCCCGCCCTCGCAGGCTGCTGAATGAGACCGGCGCCGGAATATGACGTCATATTCCGGCGCCGGTCTCATTCAGCTGCGCGCTGGGGAGCAGAGCCAGCGCAGCTCCCCCAGCGGCCGCCAGGACAATTCCCCCAGCAGCCGCCAGAAGACCTCCTCAGCGGCCGCCAGGACAAGTCCTCCAGCAGCCACCAGAAGATCTCCCCAGCGGCTGCCAGCAGACCCAGGTGTCTGCCCGGTCCCAGGAGCCGGCGGCCCACCGGGAAATTTCCCGGTATCCCAGTGGGCCAGTCCGGCCCTGCCAGCAGCTCAGCTAATAGACAATGATGCCTTAAGTATTAATAAGTGATAGTGTTTGTGCAAATATATATTATGTTTTTTTCCAATGGGCTGCTACCACACTGTAGTGTACTCTAAAATACACCAAATGTTAAACAAATATACAATTACATGCCTCAATTATTAAACTGAAGAGCAGGGTAGCCCAAATTGTGGAAACTGGACTTGAGAAAGCCCATGTAAAAATGGGGAACTGGAGTAATTTCAAATTCAAAATTGTTTAATTCCCTCCCCCACCTTTCTAAGGTCTTACTGTAGACCTGGATATTTCCTACATCCAAGAAGACATACCATGCCTGATTTTTTTTTGATTTTTTTTTAGCTCATTATTTAACAGTTTCTCAATCTGGCTCTTAAATTAAAATATAAATGGGTATTAACATAATGTTTAATTCTAATGATGTAAAATAATCTCTGACTGATATACCATATTCTTCTTTAAGTTGGCCTAATTTTTTCAAATTATTATTAGTGTAGAGATCACACATTTTTTATATTTTTACCTTAGAGACCTGGAGGATGTTTGATATCTATAATATTATATTTTTATGAAGTTGAGAGAAAACATCTATACATTAAGCCATATCTCTCTTTAAATTGAAACAATGTATGTATTACACTATCTAGAATTTTAGATTTGTTTTCTGGATGATGAGATTCACTTGTTTCATGTGGATCCACAGAAGAATCTCTAAATGATCAAAACTCTATCATAGCTTGTTCTATTTCACACCATCCGGGAGATCCAATCATTTTTTCTTGTATCTGAAGAGCTTGAATGATAAGGTTAGCTTGGTGGTATCTAAATATGTCTGGATAATCATTACCCCCTACTTTTTTCTTACTTTGTAATCTCCTTGATATTCTTGCTCTCTTCCTAATCATGCGCTAGGGTTTGAAAATGTTTTAGATCATAAATTGGTAACTTTCAATGGTAACATTCTAAAATTGTAGATCCAAATAGGTAGTATGTCTGCTTTAATTACATTAATTCTTCCCATGCATGATGTAAATACATTTTTTACATTCTTTCAATTTGGTGTTTAGATCTCTTTAAAAGATCATAGTTGACCTCAATTATATTTTCCATATTGGGAGGTATCATTATACCAAGCTATTTTATCCCATTAGTTGGCCATTTTAAGTAGTATTTAGATTTTAATTAAATTAATTTAATATTTTCTGATTAAAAAAGGTGACGCCTGTGATTTATGCACATTTAATTTGTAATTAGACAAATTTCCATAGATATTTAAAATATTCAACAAGGATTTAAGAGAACTATGAGGTGAAGATAATAAGATAATATCATCGGCATAAGCCGAAAGTTTGCATTCCCGAAAGCCTGCGTTGACCTCTTTAATTGTAGAATCTAGTCAAATCCTCTGGAGGAGAGGTTCGAGGGCAATTATGTAAAGCAAGGGAGCCAAAGGGCATCCCTGCCTTGTTCCATTTCTAATTTGAAAAAAAACAAACCAGTAGTAAAACCCGAGCCTGAAATGTTTGCGGATGGATTTGAATAAATAGTCATTACACTATCCCTTAATGATTGCCCAAAATTGGAAATTCTCAGAGTCTTCTCCAGGAACACCCAGTTGACCCTGTCAAAGGCCTTTTCGGCATCAAGTTACATAGTTACATAGCTGAAAAGAAACTTGCGTCCATAGAGTTCCGCCTTCCTCACATATGTTTTGCTGTTGATCTAAAAGAAGGCAAAAAACCTAGTCTGAAGCACTTACAATTTTGCAACCAAATAGGAAAAAATAATTTCTTGACCCCAAAATAGCAATCAGATGTTTCATTGGATCAAGCAGCTATTACCCCATTATTTAGAAATGATATCCCTGTATGTTATGTTTTTGCAAGTATTTATCCAATTGCAGTTTAAACATCTGTATGGACTCTGATAAAACCACCAGAGAATTCCATATCCTTATTGCTCTTACTGTAAAAAAAATCTTTTATTTTCCTTAGATGAAATCTCCTTTCTTCCAGCCTAAATGTGTGACCTTGTATCCTATGTATAGTAATAGTGTCAACATGGGTAGTCCCTTAGCCCCCACAAGATCGATCAAATCAATAACTTTTCTAGTATTATCATTCGAGTGTCTATTCTGAATAAATCCTACCTGATCTTGATGTATACAATATGAGACAATTCCTTTGAATCTATTAGCGATTATGGAAGAATATAATTTTGTATCTCCATTTATAAGTGAGATTGGCCTATAAATAATAATTTGGGTGCTATCTTTATCTATTTTCGGTATTGGGACTATCGTTGCTTGTAACATTTCATTTGGGAAAGCTTAAACTTGTCTAACTTCATTAAATAGTTCTGTTAGATATGGAGCAATAACATTCAACATTTTTAAAAATAAATAAATTTGAAAATCCATCCTGGCCAAGGGTTTTATTAATATTTAATCTAAGAATTGCCTCTTGCACCTCATTGATATAAATGGGGCTTCTAAAGAGGTCATCTGATCAGGTTTTATAGTTAATAATTTAAGTTCCTTTAGAAAATCATGCATCTCCTTCCTATTTTGGGATTGGGTCGAAATATTATATAAATATGAGTAGTACGCCAAAAAGCTTTTGCTTATGTCCTGTGGGCTTAACACTATGCCATTTTCTGTAATTATCTTTACTATTCTTGATTTAGATTGCATTTTTTTTTTAGTTGACTAGTGAGCAATTTCTTTACCCTTTCACACACTCTTCTTCTCATCCCAGTAAGAGGCAAAATAAGTTCAAACAGGCAAGGACTCATCATTTAAGATGCACTACTCTCCTCACCCATGTTGGAGCCTTCACTGGTTGTAGGCTCATATATTGTGCTTTCAATGCTCTTATAGGTGGTGTTTTACTTATATGGTGGAAGTGACGTGGATGGTAGTTTCACTCTGGACTCAAATCTGCAAATGCTGTGATATAGCAATAAAATTAACAGAAATTAGACAACATTAAATAAACATCCTCAATGGGATAAGAGCAATGTACACGTAAGGATACCTTGATATGTGTTTCGCCAGTAATAAACAGCTTCAACAGTCATTATCTGAATAAACCAAGTGTCCTGTTAAAATGTGGTCCGTTCTTGCATTCAACATCCCGTCTGTGGACGTCTGATACATCTTCTGGCCTTGAGTTTTACAGCTTGTGTTCCTACACGCTATATCCTCCCTGAGAGAATTAACATCAGACAGGATGTTAGTGTTGTAGCTCTATCACTTGCAATAGCAATCCAAAGGTGGATATTGATCTGACAGACATATATAATTAAACGATTTATTGTAAAAAAAAAAAAAATATTAAGAAAATATATAAGAAAATATATGGAAAATGTAATGAAACAATTAGACTATATCAAACACTAAAATCAGTTATTCTATAAAATGGCACAATTCCAAATTCATTTAGTACTAAACGTATTAAAAAAATATATTCACATCCTAAAATCTTTTGAAGATCGCCTCCTCTTCTGGGTAGAGAAATGTTCCTTCTAAGTGACCTGCTATGTTGCTATGTTGGCTGTAATATGCTGACATCGGTCCTTGCTAATCCTCACTGTATTGTTACATATCTTAGACAGACTTCTTGACTCTTGACTCTGCCCATGGTAAACATTACAGCACTACTTAGGGGCCCTCTTGTACTTCTGCTTCTAATGGACTGATCTCTCACTCAAACTCTGCTCAGTTAAAGGACAAATATTTATTTTATTTGCTCATTCTCAGACAAACCTCCTATGTTAAAGGTACTGGCTTTCTTTTCACGGATATTCTTTCTGTGTAATTCTTAAAGGCATTACTCTGGATAAACTTAGGTGGAATTCATCAGCCTCTGTGTAAGTTGAAATCATGCTCCTATTTTTTCTACTGTTCAACCTTGTGACCTCCTTCAACAATGCAACTTTGCATCTCTTCCACCTCGGAAATGTTCCTACAGCATTGCAGGTATTTTGCTTTGGATTCAAAGTAACAACTCTGTCTTTTATTCATTACTTCATTATGCTAAGACTGCCTTATTGTAATAGGAGTAATATTATTGAACCCCTTATTCCTACTTCAAGTACTCTGTATTGTAATTTAAATGTAAGTTTGTATTTGGGCTCACATGTTAAAGTCTAAGGAAAAGTCTATAACGTAAAGGCCTTTCATTTACTTATAAAGTTATTGTGTCCCTCCATTACTGCAAACTACAACATCATTTCAACCCAAAATAGTGCAATCGGATATTTAGCAAGTTTCTTATTTATTTTTTTCAAAAGGAAAATAAATGTTAAGTTGTTTTTCAAACATTTGTGATTGCTTCTGATGTTCAACCAGTCATGCTCAACAAATTGCAGTGTCAAAATTATCAATCACTGCCACATAATCTTTGAAAGATTTTGCAATCATTTCTAGGGAAATGAGCAGCTAACTCCACGTTGTTTGGATGCTTAATTGTGATTTATCTTAAGTCAATAGAAAAATCCCACCTTGAATATGTGTCATTATGGAAACAATGTAGAGACTGTCCTCAAAATTAATAAGGAGAATGGAAGATTTTAGCTATAAAGAAAGACAAAAAAGATGCATGTGTATAATTTGGGGAAAATTATATCTCAGGTTTGTTAGGATATAATTACATATACATATACCAGTACAATATTAACAGCTCACTGATGACTTTTTATTTATAAATGAAATGTTTTACCTGGAGATTTTGCTTATTCTCAAGTAAGCCTTGTTCCTTAAAGAGATACTCTTGGCACTGTAACCGATTTACGTAATTTAGTTTGTGTCAGGAATCCATCCCTGCAGCCTTATATTTGACAACATTGTCAAACAAACTAAATAGGGTTTAAAATAGGAACTGCAGCTGCAGCACCACCACCAAGGTCTCACATGGCAGGTACTTAAGTAGGCTGATAGTGAAAAACCTATTCTTTGTTTTATTTTCGTAGCACTGGTAATTGCTAAAAGTCAAGATTGTTATCTTTTTTTAGATCAACAGCAGAAACTAAATGGTCTTTTCTCATTTTATGACTAAATACTTAAGAACTATGTATCTGCAGGAGTATATAGTCAGGTACCCATGTCTTTATACAATATACAGAATTTATTTTAGCTACAGCTACTCTACGAGCAAAAAAAAAAAAAGAAAGAGAGGATAATATTGTAAACATAGCACCTGACTGCTCTTTATAGGTTTCACTCACATGTAAAGGTTATAATGTAGCATTCAGTACGTTGAATGTTGCAGACTCAAACTGGAGAGTTCTTCAAACAGACTAGCATCACTGATCTTGACGTTCCAATAAGCTTAAAACAGCCATAAACATATTGGAGAATGTCCATACACTTTAAGTAAACGATAATTTATGATGGATAACTCACCCTATGTATTTCATCACACAAGTCTTCCTCACGGGCTCCCAGCATGCTGAAATACTAATAAAACAATGTAAAATCAGAATAAAGAGAGAGCTTCTAAATGAAGGTTCTGTCTGTTAAAACATTCTCCTTTCATTCTGATTGGTTGTTCAATACACTGTGCATCTAATCACAAGTATCAAGGCATGTTCTATCCTAATTCTAGTCACGTGGTCTTACAGTATCATAGCAATGTCCATACAACGGCATTCTCTAGCCAATCCGAAGTATTCCAGCATGTATGTCATCACTTTGTGATTGCACAATATCCCAGCAATGTCTTTAGTCCAAAAGGGCTGAGATATAGGCTCATGCCACATTCAATGACAGTATTGTTCTAAAACACAAAGCTTTGAGTATTCAGGAAATGGAAATTCTATGCCTCCATGTTGTGTGAGGACATAGGACAATTAACCCATATATCTAAAACTAGAAACAGCGTAAATACATTGGTATGAATAGAATTCAAATACATAAAAAGATAAATATAGCTATTGTGCATATTTTTGATGAGTGCATTTATTTTGTTTATAGTTTTTATTATTATTATTATTATTATAACATGTGTTCAGTATAGATATAGCAAAGTATTTTATGACTGGAGGCATCAACAATGTTTTTTGCCTTATCATTGGTGAGATGATAATTTGGGTGGTCTTTGATTAAGATTAATTGAATTTCATCTAACACCTATAGCAACTTATTGACAGCTGGAGAAATCAATTTTTTTTATCCTACAATTTAATTACTTAGCAATCTATTTAAGCATTCTATCTGTTGGATTTAGTAACAACAAACAAATCATTTCTGCCACCACTAATAAGTTAAAATATGCAAACATAACATTAGACTAATTGCATACCTATTTACATTGTTCCTATCTGATATCAAAGAACAGATCTTTATAATTTAGATGGAGTCGATTAATTTCCTCCTAATTGATAATTATGTAGCTATCTCTTGATTGCAGAAGAGATGTTACATTGAACCAGAAAAAAATCATTATAAATGACTAAGCCTATTAGGTTTTTAGAGAAGCATGTAAAATGAAATGCAGTTTTAAAATGATGACTATAATTCAGAATTTTAGGACCTATTAAAGAAACGGTGGTTGAAATAACACATATATATATGTCTTTATTCAAATCGACAGACTTGGCAAATAGTAAATGCAAATGCGATCGGAACTTCAAAATTTGAG